GCCAAGGGGAGGGCTCTGGGTTGAATCAAGGTTTGGTCGACAGGCTGCTGTGGCAGGTGACTCACAGTGGCAAGCCTGGGAAATGGCCAAGGTCCCCGTGACATGGACGCTACCCCAGCTACCCTTTCTAACGTTCCAGCATGCTGGCTAAAGGGTTAGCACACCCCAGCTTGAAGAATCTCGTCGGACAGGGCCTACCACTAATACCGACGTTGGCCTTCAAAATGGCAGACTGTCCAGAGAGGCTGCACATGACTGAAGAGTGGGGTTTTCAGCTTGGCAATGTCACTGGCAAACTGGGACGTGGTCGGACGGTCTCCACAATCAGATCCTGGTAGCTCTGAGCTGTGCACTGACCATCCCCAAGGTTCCAGCCAGCCGTCCCAAAGCACTTACTTTCTCATGTATTTAAATGTTACGGCTGCACGGATACTTGACTGTCACAAGGGCTTTGAAAATAGCTTGTTGATGGAAAGAATAAAACTCACTGAGTAGGAACTCAGGAGCAACCTCAACTGAATGAGGGGACAGCTGCCAAATTTCACCGCGTCCTCCACAGCCCAGAGGCAGGTACCTGGCGTCACACCACCAGACAACCAAGCACACAAGCTGCCATGAGCCCCTCCCTGCGCTTCCAGCTGACGGGGGCCAGGCTTCCTCCTGAACGCCAGGCCCCCCATCCCGTAGCTGCCCTGCCGGCTGTATGCAGACTGGGTGGAGGCGGTGCCGGCCGCGCTGAGCAGCCTGCTGCGGTGCGGGGCTGCGGAGGCTCAGGGAGGTGTCTTGTGCTCGTGGCTCCAGCAGCACCCCTCTGTGGCCGCTGTCGGGACAGAGCAATGGAGCCCCTCTGCACTCCCGCCCTCAAACACTACCCCAGGTGTTCCCTGCACGAGTGTGTGTCCAGCGGGCCTGGCCTGCCTGGGTGGCCAGAGCAGACCGCCAGTGCAGGGGCAGGCAGCGGGAGCCAAGGACCAGGGCTGGGGGCGAGCTGGGTGGCATGTGGGCAGGAGACGGAGGAGAGGAGCGATAGGGCAGGACTGTGAAGCCCCAGCACACCTGCCACACCTGAGAGGCAGGGACGAGGCTTGGCTTCACGGAAGCCTCGCGTCAAAGTCGACTCCTCTCTAACCCAAAGCTGTCCAGTAACGCTTTCCCCCCAAGTCCCCCTGGCCTGTCCCACTACTCCTGACCCAGAGTGAAAGTTGGCCCAGCCCCTCTGACTCCATCCCAAGGCAGCTGCACCCCTGTTGGGATACAGACAGTATGGGTGACAGTGGACCTCCCCACCCCACTGGGCACACACACTCACACAGACCCTCCCCTGTGCTGGGTCCCTCAGTGCTGGTGGGCCAGGCAGGAGAGCCATCCACGTCCGCGATGCCTGTGGGCAGCCTGGCGTGTGGCCGAGGGTCGTGTCACAGTGGCTCCTAACAGGGAAAGATGAGTACATTTTCCTGTCCCGGTGGACCTGCGGCAGGTGCCCAGGGGCTACCCAGCAGCTCACATGTAAAGAAACGTCACCAGTTTCCACAAAACACTTTTATTGATTTTAAAGGAGAAAGGTGGTACATTGCCAGTACTGTTTTTGGCTTTGGTTACAACTTCCGATCAAAGGTATCGATAAAAGGTAAAAGGGGAAGACACGCTGACTGACAAGAACCAGGGCCTGGGCTTGTCCAGCTCGTACGGGACACAGTTCAACTGAGAACAGACAAGACCCCCCGAGCTCCAGCACCTAAGACGTACTCGCCAGGGGAAAGACCCTTCCAGCAGAGCAGCTAACAGGGAAGTGGTGCCCTGGAACCTGCGGACAAGTTACGTCCTGCACCCCTACGTCCTTCTCAGGCTCAGGTTACTCCCGACTAAAGAGTGAGGCCCTGGCAATCTCTCCAGCAACGACCGAGGGTCTGGGGCGCTCAGGGAGAGCCAGCGAGGGCCTCTTGCTGCAAGTCAACTTCTGCAACTTCTGTTACTCTCACCCCCCGCCCCCATGCCTGGCCTCAGCTCTAACCGGAACCTCCCACGTGGACCAGGCTCCACAACTGCACCTGAGTCAGGGCAGCCGCGCAGGAGCAGAGGTCCCCAGCCTTGTCCAGAAGGCCACGGCCCAGCGCGAGGCTGCGGGACAACAGGCCATGAAAGCAGGCCAGGACTGGAGTCCCTGGGGCGCTGCGTGGGGGGGCCACTCCCTACAGCAGTGGCCATCGAGTACGGCTGTGGCCCCAAGGAAGGAGCCCTGCACAGCTCACGGCCAGGGGCCCTCTCTGAGTTATGCCGCAGGGAGTGCAGTTACACGACCTCTTCCTGCTCCTTGCACGTGAACAGCTGGGCCGGACGAGAGTGCACCAGTCATTTTATGTGGCTGTGAGACGCCTTTATAAACCCCTACCCGACCCCGTCTCCTTGGTGCCCAGCCCAGGGGACTGCATGCACCCACACACCAGCAGCTCCTGCACGTGGGCCCCTGCAGAGCAGGCTCGGGAGCTGTGCGGTGCTGCGCGTGGGGGTAGATACGGGGAGATGTGGCTGCCTCCCCAGAAAGTGGGGCTAAGGCGTGCAGGCTGCTGTGGGACAGGGCATCAGGCCAGGGTGGACAGGTGCCCCTGGAGAGGCACGGCCCTCCTCAGACCCCCACTGCTCCAAAGGGATCTGAACAGAAACTACCTTGAGACGGAGGAGCTGCTGCAACTGAGGGAGACAGACACACACACACCCACCAGCAACTGCAGACGCCAACCCGGGACACACACGCACGTCTGTACCTACACATGCCAAGGGAAGTGCGACAAAGCCGAGACGTGCAGCGTGTGAACAGCACCTGCCTGGGGTTATGGCTGCGGGCAAGCTCAGAGATGTGGAAACTATGACGTCTGTGTGAACGTCAAACACGCAGTCAGGACTGTGAGACAACATAAAATGCATCACGTTGATGTAGCAGGCTCATGCTGACGAGAAACGTGTGAGGTCGAAGGGACTGATGGTCGTGCTGGCACTCGAGGGACGCTGCCCTCTCAGACCCTTCCTATCTGACGATGAGCTCCATCTGTTCTCTGTGCCATGTGACCTCACTGAGGAAGTGCTGGGGTGGCTGAGTGGGACGTCACCATGCCACTGAGGCCCAGCGTACCAAGCAGGCAGGCAAGGGTGTCCATGTTGTCCTGGGAACCCAAACAGCCTGTCCCCCGAAGCCAGCAGCCCAGCACAGGTGCCTCCTGCTCACCCCCTCGGCTCCCTCTCCCCTGCTCTGTGTCATGGGGCCGGCTCACAGTGGGTTCCCTTCCTGCTCGGACCCACGTGGTGCTGTCACCAGGCCCTGCCACAGCCCTGGCCTGGCAGACAGGCCCCAACAGTTCCTAACTCAACAGAGGTAGCCCTGGCCAGAAGCACCGCACTGGGGGCAGTGAGGGGTGGGGCCCTTGCTTTACCTTGACTTTTTAGGAAGGCAGGCTCAGTATGTGCCCAGTAAACAGCAAGGCTCCTTTCCCTGTGAGAGCAGCTCGCTGTGGGATGTCAGGGAACGTACGCCCCAGGGGACAGCACGCGCACGGCCCTCCCACACACAGCTTTCCACGTGGGACTGACCCGAGGCTCTCAGCAGACGGCTAGGCTGGCTGCTTCTTGCTCTTCACCTTCAGGAAAAGCGACGTTCCCTTCCAATGGGCATCGAGGACACTGGCCAGCACTCTTCCCAAGGCTAGTAGCCTAGAACCTTCTGTGAGGTTCTCTGGCCGCCCCGAGAGCACTCGAGGTGACCCGAGGAGGCACTCCGTGGCACTGTGGCAGCGCGGCCTGCCAGCAAACCCTAACCCTGCAACCGCAGCCACCGACCAGCACCTCTATGGCCGTAACTCCCAAAGGCAGGGACAAGCCACCCCACTGGGTGCTAAGCAGCTCCAGTGGGTGCCTGGCGGCCAGGCCTGAGCATGGGGTGGGGGTGGGGGGGCGACGGGACTCTGGCCCTGCACGGGGCCCCACGTTTGTGTACAGCGAGAGCCCCCCCGCCCCCGCCGCAGCTCTGCAAGCATGCAGGGCCAGCTGTGTGCAGCTGCACGGGGGCACTTGGCAAGGACTGGTGACCTCTGGGGAGAAAGGACACCGAGGAGCCAGCAACCTGCACCCACCCCCTCCTGCACTTCCAAAAGAAAGCACCGTATGTAGAGTATTGAACACACGTGGGCAATGTCACCCCGTTATGGATCCCACGACCAAGGGCAGCTGGTGCAGTTCCTGCCATGTCAGAGAACACCCACTTGGGGTGAGCAGGGACACATCAGCCCAGCTACTCACCTCTCTCAGACCACGCCCCCATATCACCCCACCCAACACACCTGCAGGGTCTTTGGTTTTAGGTTAATTTGTAAGCAATCCTTTCAAAGCAGCACTTTCCAAGGTTTGAGAAAACACAATGCAGTTTCCCACAGAGCCTCTTGAAACCCCAGCAGAAGAGCTAAGGGAACGGTTTCCAGAACCAGTCACCCCCACGACTTCTTATGTCTCCCCCAGAAATCAACGTGTCTACTGACGAAGTGACAACAGAGAGCAAGAAGTCACTCCCCAGCACCGGTTCATTCCTGAGCCGGACAGCAGGGTAAGAAGTCAAGTCCCAGTGAGGGGGAGGGCGGGACCCACCAAGCCAGCGTCCCTCTGGCTCATCACTGGGTTTCCAGGCACGTGAACAGCCCACTCACGTGATGCCAGGACAGGAGCTAGAAGTTGTGGACCTTTCCCTCCTCATAAAACTTTCCCAGACGATTTATGCTGACAAGGGGTCCCTCTGGGCCCGGCCCCTCATGCTCCTCAGTTCATGCTGATGGTCCACCTGGGCCGTGCCGCTGTGCTCTACTCAGACAATTTATGCTGATGACAGGGGCCCCTGAGGGCCACACCTGCGCCCTACCAGGGACGTACGGCTCAGCTAACACTGCCTCACCTGCCCTATGACAAACTCAGTGAGACTCATCGTCAGGGCCGACAGGCATCTGGTAACCAGGTGTGTCTAGTTACCACCCAGAAAGCTGGCGCTTACCTGGTCCCTCAAAAGGCAAGAGTTTGGATGGGACGGGGTCCTGAGCACTCAGTGGGATCAGGTAGAGATCCTTGACATGTCTGCTATTATTCGCCACAACCCCAAAACGGCCACGACTGCTAAAGTAAGAGTACAGGGAGATGTAGGCGACCTCCTCCTCCTCCGTGGCGGGATGGAAACGGATCAGGCACAGCTCCTGCAACGCAGACACGGGACACAAGGACACGGTGACGGGCAGATCCCCCAGCCAGGCATCCTCCACAAGACGCAGCTGAACCTCACCACAGTCAGAGGGACAACTGCCACCACTCCCTCGGCTCCGGCATTCTAAGTCCTGCTGCCCAACCCGTGAGCCGGGCAGTGGGTGGAAGGAAGGCGCTGGCCTCAGGCCACACTGCCTACCTTGCAATGCCGGCCCATCTGTGAATAAGCCACATAAGGTGGGAGCCGAGCCGGGCCAGCACCTGGCCAGGGCGTGTGTCCCAGAAGTGCATGCTGGCCGAGTTACCACGAACTGGCCGCAGACTGCACAGGCTGCCCTGTCATAAGGGCTGTGCCACCTCTAAAGTGGAGGGTTAAACAAGCTTTCAGGGTCCGAACCTTCCTGTGCAAACCAAGGAGAACTCGGGCTCAGAGAGCAAGTCCCACCCCAGACCCCAGACCCCAGCCCGGCCTCCACCTGTGCTCAGCACAGCAACAAAACACAACTGCCCCATTTCTCAGTGCAACCCAGCTGAACAGTGAAATCAAAGACAAACCAACGCCCACCCCTTGCCCATCACTGCCAAACACTCTGTGCTGCCACCGTTTCCTCCACTAAACCTTGGACCATTTACATGTTCACCAGACTAGCCAGGCAGCTGTAGAGGCATCTTAAGTGCTGAGAGCAGAGGTGGTCTACACAGAAGCTGTCTTGCGCAATGCAGGCACTATTACAGGTGAGCGAGTACCTTAGACACAGAAGATTTGAGTTTGCCAACATAATCCCAAACCGTCTTCGGTGAGATCCGCCCGCCAATGTGAATGGTGTCTGGCAGGTCCTAAACAGAAAGTACTGTGAGTAACCACGGTCAGAGTCCAGCAGGGACCCAGAGACCAACACAGTCATCTCAAGGCACCAGGCACCTGGGACTTGAGAAAACCCACACTGTTGCCGGGGAATGGCGATGGTGCTGAGAGCTGGCTGGTCAAACGCTGACTGCCCGTGGCCAGGTTGCCCAGGCTCCAGGCTAGTGTGCTAATGCCACCACCTGACTGTGCCTAGTGGTCATCAGTGCACACCCACAGCAGCGGTCAGGCCAGACACTACAGCTGCTTTCCTGAAATGTGGAGGGCCATGACCAGCGTGCAGAAAGCTGGGCACATGCTCAGCTCCCAGGGGATGCAGGAGAAGGGGCACCACCCTCTCAGAACTATCGGAGTGACCCGTGCCCACCTCACGACTCTGCCCACCCAGACCAGTGTGGCTGCGGACTGTGCAGTAGATTGCTGGCCTCTCAGTGCCTGGCTCTGCTGCGCCCACACACGCGCGGCTCTAACCCTGCGTGCACACAGGCACGTGCACCCGCACACATGGCTCTGACACACACACACACACACACACACATACACACACACGGTGCTAACCTCGCTGAGGTAATCCAAACACCCAGAAACAGGGTACGCCTTTGTGACGAATTTCGCCACACTCTGCATGTTGATAAATCCTTTCCAGATGGTGCCAAGCCGAGACAGGAAGAGCGACGTGTCTCCCTCTGGTGGGGACCGTGACTCCGAAATGCTGTGAAACAATCACACAGGCAGTCAACTGTGCTGGCGCCAGACAAAGACGGCCCCCAAGGACCACGCCGCCGCAGCTTTAAGAGGAACGAACCCCTGGAGGTTTCAGCTGTGGACTCTGTCCACTCAAGGACTCGGTCATAAGGACATCAATGGACTTTCCAACCAAAAACAAAGCATCTGAATAGGTAACAGAACCTAAGGCATAGCAACTGAATCTCTGGGCCCCAACACCAGGGCTCAAGAGTGAGCGAGCTGTGTCTCCGGTAATTCCAGAGCCGAAAGGTTTCATCGCTAGAACTTTTCTGTCTCAGAAACGATGTGCTCTCGGCCTATCCCGCCTCTGCCTGATGCTTGGTGACAGTGACACGGACAGTTACCTTGGTTCAGGTGAAGAGGATGGCTTGGCCAGAATGGACTTGGGCAGAACCACGGAGGCCAGAGCGGGCTTCAACACGTCCTGTTTGGCTTCCACTGGGTGAGCGCTCTCTGGGAGAAGGCCGCTGGTGGGACGGGCTGCCACAGTGCCTGTCACTGCACCCACGCCACCTGGTACAGTTCTGGGGTCTCTACCAGACACTGTGACTGTGGTGACCACTGGGCTCCCACAGGAAGCCGGGAAGGAGGTGAAGTCCTGCAGGGGCGCAGGCTCTGGATGGCCAAGCCCTGGAGGGACAGGGGGATGGCTTATCTCTGCATCTGGGCAAGGCGTGTGCTTCAGCTCGGGCTCAGCAGTGCCTTCGGGGGGACTGTCCGGTGTCCCCTCATTGGCTGGAGGCGTGGGCTCCGAGGGAGCGCTGTCACACTTGGACCTGGCCTCTTCCTTCTTAGCAGAACCGGATGGCCTTGGCCTTTTCAGGGCTGGCTCGTCCTCGGCAGAGGGGACCTGGCCTGAGAAGGGTGAGGAAGGTTCCGTGGACGTCAGACATCTCTGACCCAGAGCAGAGGAGTTCTTCATGGGCATCAAATGCACCCCTGGAGAGGTGGGGGGCCCTCCCCTGAGCAGCCGCCATCAGAGGGCTCAGTGCCTGTAGGCCAGTTCAGGTTAGTCCAACCTGAGGCTCGTCCCCCAAGCCATGCTCACCTGTGCAGATTCGACAGTTGAGGTCAAACAGGTGGGCGCGATGCTGGCCGGTGGTGTCCCTGAGCATGCTGCTGAAGACGTCTAGGAGGGGCGCGCCGCTCTGCTCCGGGGCCGCACGCACCGACTCCTGCAGCTCCTAGAAGCCACGGAGCAAGGCAAGGGCATCACTGCTGCCCCCGACCCACCAGGAGGGTCAGAGCACACTTGAAAGAGAAATCTCACGAGATCAAGGACCATGCAATCCAACCACTCTAGAGACTGCAATCACACACTGTCACCCACACGGCAATTACAGCTATCGAGAGGGGGCATATCATCTCCATGCCTCAGGACCTAAAGCTTACGTCTGAATCGGAAACTGGGGGGGAGTCTTCCAGGTCGGGGATGGTTTCCTGCTTAACAGCAGTCGTCTTACTTTCGTTATGCAACTTAACTCTGGCCTCTGTCACCTGAAACGAGAAAGACAAAACTTGTTCCAGGAGGCCAAGTCAGCAGCCAACAGCCCGCCCGCTGAGCAGCTTCCGGGGACATCCTGGGTGCAGTGCCTCAGGACTCAGGAGGGCCTACACTGGGGGCACTCACGGGTCTCGCTGGCCTCTCCTTCCATGAGGCAAGTTCTTTAGACACAAGCTCCTCTGGCTTCATCCTCACAAGTTTTGCCAGAGAGATTTCCTCACGCAGAACACGATGGAACAGCCCCTGTTAACAGACGCCTTTCACTGACACAGACACCAGCAGGTGTGTGCACAAGGTGCTCCAAGGGGCACGCAAAGAGCCGAGCAGGGCCCCAATCACTGCTGCGTGCCAGAGCACTGACGTGTAGCCGGCCCCGCATCCTCAGAGCCAGCCCACACCAGGTAGCGGGCACACACCGGGCCAGAAAAGCGAAGGACTGAGGCCAGGCGGCTAATTCCAACATCCACGCTGCCATGGTTCTCCAAAAGATGCCTTCTCAGAAAACCCAAGGCACCAACTGCAGGTGCAGTTAGGGACACAGGCAGGAAGAGGCCACCCACTGAGGACCATCAGCAACATTGTGAGGCATGGGCGAGGATCCCGGGGGCAGAGACCGCCAGGCTGCTGGGGGCCAAGGTGGGGGCCCTTGGAGGCAGGGTCCCGGCGGGCACTGCCATCTTGGCGGTGACACTGAGCACATGGTCATGTTCTCAACCCCATCTTGACTCAATGGGAATGGAAGCGCGTGCCCCTCCCCCCACAGCTGTGAGGGCTGTCTCTGCGTCCACTGCTGTGCCATCCAAATGGCACGCACGACACTGAGTACTGTCACTGCTGCTATGTGCAAGCAAGCAAGGTGGAAGAGGCTGGGTGAAGCCCCCGCCCCGCAGCCCCACAGCCCCGGGCGGCTAGCAGTCTTCCCCAGCGCCCACACCCACCTGGTTCTTGGGGTCCTTGAGGTTGAACATGATGCTGCGATACTTGCTCTTGTAGCGGTTGTCTGTGACCTGGAACAGGCTGAACATCTCTTTCTCGATAAGGAGGGCGACCCTGCCCACCTCGTTCTCTGTCATGATCAAGTCGTCACTGTCGCTGGCTCTGAAGGGCAGAGAGAGCTGCGTAAGCTGACTGGATACCTGTGAGATGACCACAGAAACCCCCAGGAGCAGGGGATCCAGTGGGACAGCCCACCTTTTCCACAGGATCTCCTTGAGCGAGCGCCTTATGTTCTGTCGAATCTGTGAATTTGGCTGCGACGGGGCGGGGCTCACGGCCCCAAGTCGCACTGGGGCTGGAGAGGCTGCAGGCGCAGGTGAGGCCATGGGCCGCCTCAGTCCTCCGGCCACCGAAGGGCTGGCCAACTTCCTCGGGGCGGACGCCACCACAGGCGCCAGCCTCAGCTGCTTCGCGGCAGCAGCACTGCCTGCAGGCGCGGACGACAGCCAGGGCCTCTGAGGCACCGCGCCCTTGAAACCAGAAGGCGACTTCTTCACGGCCTGCTTGGCAGCCGACCCGGGAGTAAAGGCAGGCGACTTCTTCGAGACGAAGTTTCCGGGCAGGGAAGAAGGTGGCTTGCCGAGCACTGGGCCTGAGGGAGCCACTTTCTTGGGCATGGTAATGGCTGCTGCTGGCTTCTCCCTTGTCCTCTGCTCATCCTTCACGGCTGCAAAGGAGGAAGATGCAGGCACCTCAGAAAACCAGCCCATGTGCACCCTACAATCCGCAGAACTTGTCTGGGATTACAGTCCGAGACAAACCTAGGCAGGAGGATTCTCAAACTGATGAACTCAGGAGAGGGGCAAAAGCAGCCTGGTGGCCAATGAGGATGAGGTGTGACTACAGTCTAACTGCCCCCAAGAAAAAGCTTTACCACGCTCAGCCAAAGCTGTCACCAGGCCTAGCACACTCAGGTCACAGCAAAGCTGTTGAAATCATTACGTTTTAAAATGGAACAGCACTTTCACTGCGCAGAATCCAAGAGCAGCATTTCTGTACAGTTGAAAAGGGCTCGGGGCGGGGGGGGCGGCGGCCCTCCTGTGATGCGCATGCAGAGCCGCTGTGCAGACCCCTGGCCTTCTAAGGAGTCAAAGGCCCAGCCCCAGGCAGCCCAGAGTCATGGGTCCACATGGGCTTTTCTGGAAAAAAGATGACTGAAGATGCCATCATTAGTATAAATACAGAACGGCAGGCTGAGATTTACGAAATGGGGAAAATCAGTCGTTTCTCCAAAAATTCAACGCCAAGGTCGAGACACACCATCATCACGTTACAACTCTTGGGCTGCAAGTGAGGAACAGCAGCCTCAATCCAAAGCAGCTCTGGTGGCGCAGCGGCCAAGGCACTGGGCTGCAAACCCAAAGGTCGACGGTTTGAACCCACCAGCCACCCCACAGGGGAAAGACAAGACGTTTTGCTTCCATGAAGACTTAGAGCTTCAGAAACGCTAGGCAATTCTACCCTGTCCTCTAGGGGCGCTGTGAGTTGGCATCAACTGACAGCAATGGGTCTGGAATTCTCAGCGGGGCTGCAGCCCAGGCTGAACACAGGCATGACCACCTTCCTCCAACGGGGACTGCACTGAAGACCTGGTCACACCATGCCCTCAGGGCCTCAGAAACCAAGGGCGCATGTGTGGAGGGCAGTGGGATAGGAGGTGCCGTGGGGGGTTGTGTGTCTGCAGGCTTTGTCACAGAGGGTCGTCCTCAGGAGCCGCCCAGGCAGGGGATCAAATTACACAAGGGACAACCGGAGGAGGCCTCTCAGCTCAGCCTCCCTCTGTGGGCTCCAACTATCTTACTGGGGGACAGGCTCTGGAGACCGTGCCACCTCCCACAGGGACCAAACCAGCAGGCATCGCTGCCCCTCCCACCACGTCCCCTTTGTTCCCAACAAACCAGGGGAGAGACCTTCTATCTAGACCGTACCCCCCACCAGCCCGGCTCCTGCCTGCGATGACGGGTAGGCGCTTGTTGAATGCAGGTTCACCCAGCCCAGCGCTGAAAGCCCGGGCCCTGAGTTATCTCACAAATACATCACAGCACTACGCAGACCCAGGTTACAGGCCCTTGAAGTGCCTGTCCCCAGGCACCCGAGTCTGCTGAGGTAGGTTCCTAACATCATCGTAACGGAAATAATTCACTCAAGTGCCAAGCCCACAAGGGGGTCACCAGAGCCCAAGACTACCCCACCCCTGCCTCCCTCCCTTGGGAGCAGGGAAACCCAGGAAGCACAGGAACAGGGAGCAGACTGCCCCAGGGGCCACTGCTGCCCAGACCCCCTCACATCGAGGTTATGAGCTGGGGAGCCGCCCCCACCCCTTAGCTGATTTGGACTTAGAAACTGAGCTGGCAGACACAAAGTCCACAGTGCCTAACTCAGAGGCTCTGAGGTTAAACCAAGGGCCCTCTACTTGGGGGAAGAGAGGCGAGGAGGCCGAAGGCCCAGCTATGATAAGGTGCTAGGTGACAGCACCATGGTGCTGCCGTGGAGCACACGAGGGACAGGTCCTGATCTGTGCAGGTGACACAGGACAGGCTGGGACTCAGGGGCCTGCCCTTCACGAGCACACGTGGCCGAGAATGTTCTCGTGGTGCCGTTAAAGGACTCAGAAGAGCATTTCCAGGGACCTCCGCTGTCCACAGGGCATCTGGGTGGTGTGACCTGGAACAAACACCAGGGACACCAACACCTGTGTATAGAGTGTGGGGAACGAAAGTGCCTCGATTTCAGGTTTCCACACTGCAATCGCCCCCAGGTCAGCAAACATCCCAGTGTCTGTTTCTTGGGCAAACGAGGTTATTCTCCTGTCTAGTGAGAACCAGGATGGAAATGGCCAGGGCATTCTCAACCCAGGTGACCAATATGACCCATTCAATCAAAAAAAAAAAAAAAAAACACCCATCAAATGCAGCCTGCCCAAGGTGGGGAGGGGCTCATTCCTGGTGCCTTTTAAGTCACCTTCACCCCCGTCCCCAAGTGAGTTACTATTAAGACAGTAAGTACATTACTGGCCAAGCGGGGGAATGCGGTGGCAACTGGGTGTATTGTTACACATCACCCCCATCCTGCCTGCAAGGGAATGTTTAAAAACATGTACTAAGCTCCGTACAAAAATGGCTACAGACACTGGTCCATCCTGGTCCTGCTCGTTGTGCTGGGGGAGGTGAGTGGCTGCCAGAAGCAGTGGTGGAATGTCCCGACACCCAACAAGATAAAACCTGTCCTAATCTAAAACTCAATCTGCAAATTCTTCAACTAAATTCACTGCTGTGTCATATATGAACTCACAGAAGAGCGAGGAGCCACTCTGTACCCTCGTGGACCCAACCTCACCCCAGAAAACAAGCTGCAGCCTGCACCCAAGTGGAAGGGGGGCTTGGCCTGCTCTCAGGAACGAGGCCCCACCAGCTGCACCAGTCAAGGCAGTGACCTGTCAGAGCCTAGACCGCCCAGCACGTCTGTCCACCGTCCCAGGTGGAGACGAGTGTGTGCAGCAGGGCTACCCCTGGGGGAGAATGTCACCTGAGCTGCTGGCACAGGGGCTGACCCCAGGGAGCCAATCGGGGCCTTGGTAGCTCCGAGGAAAAACTGTGCCCTGGGCAGCTGTCCAGATTCAGTTCACCGCTGCCGAGTGTGCCACTACTTGACCCTAATGGAGACTGTTGGGGTTAAGCCTGGGAGAGCACGAAGCACCGCAGGCTGTCCTGTGAGGGGGACCAGCGGCACTCTCATTGGCTTGTCTCCCAGTGAGCGTGAGCCGAAGTATCTGGTTTCAGCGGACGGTGGCCATAGCACTGCAGCACCGCTGGGTGGCGCCCATGAGCCTCCAGGGAGACCGGGGTGTGCTGGGGGACCCCTGGCACTTCTAGGATGGACAGCTACTTGCCACCTCGGGACCAGCGGCAGTGCAGCCACAGCCCACCCCAACACTTGGATCTCGGGGACAGTCCTGCCCACCGGCTCTCCCTGCATGAGCACACAGATGGGGGCCAACACTACCTGGCTGCTGCAAATGCCTTATTCCTCTGGGTCCCGCCAAGCTATGCACAGTCCATCTAAAACTCCTAGAGGAATTTTTAGTCAGTGATGGGGAGATGGGGAGCGGGGTGGGGGGATGGGACGGCTCAGCGTGAGCAGCAATGTTAAGACCCACGAACTAGGGGATCGAATGGCAAATGCGTCTGTGGTGTGGCCCAGTGAATCCCCATAGAACTTGTTTCAGAAGCTGTGCCAGACCTCAGCAGCTAAGGTAACCTGCGGGTCCCAAGTCACGATGCCCGCAAGCCCTCCAGCACAGGTGTCCCCACGAACTGGCCCGGGTGCCCGTGCCGCTGCACAACTCGGGGGCCTCTGGCATCTTGACAGTCACCGGACTCCAGCATCAGGTGCACTTTCTGTAAACTGAACCTGCTGAGCAGGCTGGAGACACGTGGAGGACCCCACTCCAGCTCGCTGCCGCCTGGGACTTCCCCTAGGGTGAAAATGCAAGGTGCGGTGGCCACTGGTCCTCTCAGTAAGATACCAGCGGATTCTTCTCTTAAAAGCACAGAATCTGTGGCATTTTCAGGAATCTGAAAACATGGGTAATTCCCAAGTACCACTCAAGGCGGTGCCAGTGCTCCTGAGAGCAACCTGAGGAGTCACCAGTTACCACGTGGGGATTTGGGGATCTAGGGCCATTCCCTCACTGATGCCCATTCCAAGATGCACGGAGCTCTCCAAACCCAGCTGGGCACCTGCGGCAGGCCACCCATCTAGGGTTTTACATACAGTGTTTTGAAAATTAAAGGAGAACCTGCTCATGTTTGTCAAATTACATGACGTCTGCATGAATCATGGGTGTAATCAGGCCGTGTGGACAGGTGTGTCACTACCTGTTGTCCACAGCAAGGTCCCCAGGGTGGCCAGCAGTACCACTGTCCCCTCAGGGCTTAGATAGGGAGCTGCTGTTTCCTGGAATCTCCCGAGCTGGCAATGAGTCCTCCGATTCCTCTAGTTAGGTGACATTTTAACCAGCACCCTGTTTGTACCTCAATTTTGCCTGCTGAAGCCACTGGCAGGGCTTGCTAACATACTCCACCTGTAACCTCCCTGATAACCCACCCAGTCCCAAAGGGTCAGCCCTGGAACAAGCCCACCGAACTGTAGACACGTGAGAAGCACACTGCCCACTCGTTACCTTATGTTCTCCATGCAAACTCCTCCAGGCTGGCGAGAGCTGCCCGGCCTTCATTTGAATCAATGAAAGGGGCAAAACTGTTATCAGTCCATTAGTGTGCGCCTATGGTTTTTAGAAGCTTAGGATGTAACCATGCGTGTCAGTCAATGTGTACAGGGAAAAACTCACCAGGAACGTCAAGTATTCACCATATACGAGAATACCTGGGCCTCGTTCCTGGGCTGCAGGACTTGGCAGGCTTTCCAAGGGTGGCCTTGGATCCGTGTCACCCAGGAAGGGACTTTCCTACAGCATTAATCTTGGAACAGAATTAGAGCAGACCCTGCCCACCAGCAAGCTCTACAGCTCACCAAAGCACAGGTGGGCTCAGTGGAAGGAGTCTGCTGGCAAGGAGGGGCCTGGCGGCCAAAGCCCACGAGGGGGCAGCTCTGGGACAGACCTGGAGGACAGCCACAGAGCCGTGCTCAGGGGACAGCTGCTCATCAGATGTTATGTAGATGTCACAGTTCTCCCTGGCCCTGTCTTCTGGAAAGTGGGCTATTTATTTAAGCCCATAAAAGGCAGAACAGTTGAAAGCATCACGAGAACAGACTGCGACCTCAACAAAACCCCAACTGCCTGGGAAGCTTTACGAAGGGCCCATGGTCGGAATCCCTCCTCTCCATGTTGAGTGCAGACACGCAAAGCTGCTGGCGCTCCTCTCGCTGGGGGATTAGCTGCGGCCCCTTTCTCATGGCCATGGCCAAGGCTGGAGGAGAGGCACCAAGGGCTAACGCAACTGACCCCTGCCCTCCCTTTAAATTCCTGCAGAACACGCCTGCAGTCTAGTGCGTCTGATTCCAGGGACCTGGTGCATCGTGACTTCAGTGGATGTGCGGCCAGAGTCCAGGCTCAGGGCCGCTGTTCCGTGAACATCCATACCCTCCTCCATCCACCTCCATGTTCCTTGGACCCAGTGAGGAAGCGGGAGACGCTCCTATGTGGACCAGATGTCTGGATCTGGGCTCACAGGCTGTTAGGGTTTCCCACTTTAATTCCCAAAGTCACGTGACATGCACGGCAGAGACCACACTTGGCCAGTCCAATCTGTCCAAATCCCCTAATTGAGCCTCAAAAGGAGTTTAACAAACGAGGGAAAGACTCATGCTGTGAACACAAACACTGGCTTTCAGCTTCAAAAACCTACTAAACCAGGGACATTTCAGGAGAAAGGTCAGCCCTCTCCTGCCCTGCTGAGAATGGGAGGGGAGGAGCTCAATGGAAGTGAAGGACCAGGGAAGGTCTCAGACACAAATCGTCATCCCGTCGGGGGAAGAAAACGCCATGGTTTCTGTGAGCTACAGACACTGCACAGGGAAGCCCCAAACAGTCTTAAAAACTGACTGGAGGAATGAGTGTGTTTAATTCCATCACCTTGGTAACAGCCTAATGACAGTGGCATCTGGTCTCCTCCAGGGAATGGCAGGAAGGAGCACCGTCACAGAACTTCACAGAACTTCCTCCGCTATTAACAGGAGCCCCCGCCCCCCCGCTGGGCAGCTGTACCTGCACCGTCCACACCCACGGCCAGCTATAAGGGCCTGGGACGGAGAGAAAACCCAGGGCCCATCACAGGCTGCAGCTGCTCGGCTCTGGGCTGTCTTCGGGAGCAGGCTGAGCCGAGGGCAGCAGGCCAATGAGGTGGCCGCCTCCTGCCGCTTCTCCCCTCCCACAAGCCCTTGCTTCAGCCAGCCAGGGAGGTGGCCATGGCCCCTTGTGGGGACCCAGGGTTCTGTTGAACCGTGTGCGGTCCTGTCTTGTGGCCCCGCTACTGCAAAGTGAAGAGATGGTTTAGGGACAGAGAGGAGCCATGATGGCGTTACTCACCAGTGCTGAATCCGGGCCACTCACCAGCGACCCTGCTCTCACCCATCTGGGGGAGATGGCCGTTCTGGGGCAAAACCTGCTCAGAAGCACCTAGCTCAGAAAGATTTCCCTCAGGCCCGTGAGACTCCAGCAGCTGCTTTGAGTTTGCAGACGTGGACGTGCTGCTGAGACTCACCACTGGCAGTCACGTGGGCCAGCTCTCCAGCACTCAGCCTTCGCTGACAGTGGGTGTGTGGCAGGTGTGTCAACAGGGTGGGCCAGGCCCAAGCGGAGGAAGGGAGTCTCCTCGCTGAGCCCCTCAGCCCTCTTCCCTGGAAACTGACTGAAGCAGGAAATGACGCTGCAGGAGGACTGGACAATGGGGCCCACGTTCTGCCCCACACTCCCCACCAACTCTTCCTTCCCCACATAAATGGTCTCCTGAAGGGCCACGCTTGGAGGCTCAGGGCAGCTCTCAGACTCCGGCTGACACAGATGGAGATGAGGCAAGAGCACCCCCTCGCTGGGCCAGGGGTTTGGTCCCAGGGGACAGTTCCAGGGTGGCGGCCCTTGGTCCTGCCACCTAAAGCCCCTCAGCACAGTAGGGCAAAGGGCCCACCAGTGCACAGAGGGGCTGTGCTTAGTTCTAAAGTATGCTTGCTGCTTCTGTGAGAGTTACAGTTGGACGAGGGTTGGGGACATGAATCTGTCAGCCTGAAACGATGTTCAAGCCACCGAAGGTGTGAGACACGTGACATAATGTCTGGTGTGGCTGGCACTGATGCGTCACTCCTACAACCTGATGCTTGGAACGTGTTCCAGCATCGCTCAGTAATCCCTGGACCCCTTCTGAACTTGGGCTCCCGTTTACACTGAGGACTGACAGACACGATGGGGATGCATGATCCTAACCCCACTCCCTCTAGAAACACCTTCCTGAGTCCTCCCTCAGGTGAGGGGCCAAAAGCCTGGTGCCCAGCACTTGCCATGCGGCTTGGGCCACTAACTGAGCACTTTAAGGAAGAACAAAACACACTACAGGCGGCACACAAAGACGTGAGTGGGAAGTACTCTCCTCAACGGAATACGATGGGCCTGAGGTGCTGCGTCACGTTTCTAAGAACGCGACGCTGAGAGCGTGAGGCTGAAAAATAAGAACAAACACAGGTAATCCACGCCACAGTATCTACTCTGGGGCTTTAACAGCCTGACGTACATTCACTCACCACGGGCAGTGGGGTACAGAAAGGTGCACACGTGTGGGAGAGGTGGCTTAGGAAGCTGGCCACACTTGCGGAGCTGAGCCTCCAGGAACTCACCTTGAATAAGGACAGAGAGCCCACCCCTCACTCACCATGTGCTCATTAAGCAGCAGTAAACACTCCCAACTCGGGTGGTGTGGTCTGGTGTGGGGTGTGTGTGTGAATATGTATGTGCGTATGTGTGTGCATATTTGAGTGTTGGTGTACAGTAAGAAAAATTCCTGCCTGTCCACGCAGAAATACACCCACCCCGAGAATCAGGCGTGCGCTGAGGGCCTGCTGCAGCAGCAGAGAGCTCTCCACACACACAAAGCACAGCGATGGCGTGAGCTAACGGAGCGAGCGGCATGGCAGCCCCAGTAGGACTGTGACGCTCTAGGTGTTGCATCAAGACCTGATGTCGTGTGGCTGATCTCACCAATACTCACCAAGGCCTGATACCAAATACCCAGAAATGTCAGAAACCCAGCAGCACGGTGGAGCGGCTGTTGGGCAGCTTGTGGGAAGCAGGGTGAGAAGGCCTATGGCCGCAGGTGCACATGGATCTCAGCAGGCATCCGAGGCACCAGCACCTGCTCTGAGCTTGGGCGCTGCAGCCTGAGTGCTTATGTTCCCCCCGTGCTGCCCCGGCCAGCCCGAGGACAGGAGGGCCCATGCCGCCAACCCCGGGAGATACGTACATTTGTACACCAGTGGTGCTGAGACGGCTGTGGGCCTCTCAGGCTTCACAGCGTTGTAGTTGTGGTCACTTGCCCAGGATGGCGTGCTGCTCTCGGGGGCTGAGTCCTTCATGGACCCTTCGTTCCTGGCAGGTGCCGCCACGGGCTTCTTCACAACACTTTCCTTTTTGTCTGGAGCTGGTCTCTTGTGCACAGAAGAAATTTTAATGCCTGCCTGGATAAGCAGTAAAATTGTAATCACTGGAGTGGTGAGAAAGCACACCATCCCCTCCCCACTGAGCAGACCCCACATCCAACTGATAGCCAGGACGCTGCTCTTCAAGTGAAGGGAGCCCCTGATCCCCACCTCCTCCCTACTGTCCAGGGGTGAGGCTGTCCGGGTGGAAAGCGAGCCGAGTCAGGTGCCGGGACAAGGCTGAGCGGGAGGGGAGCTTGAGGCCACACCCAGCACCTGAGCTTTGCTTTTCTTGGGAGGAGGTGGAGATGGTGAAATTTGGAAGAAAGGTCAGAATACAAATGGCATTTCTGTAGCCTCAACAGGAAACTGAGAGACGCAGATACTGAAACTAAGCTTCTCACACCTTCATAGGCCGGGAGGCAGACACTGCCACTCCATCCAGCCCTGGGTGCAGAACCACAAGCCCTAGAAACCGACTCATCCAAAGGCTCGTTGTTGTGGGGGGCAGTCGAGTCACCTCCAACCTGCAGCAACCCCGCGACAGCCCCACAGGGTCTCCTAGGCTGTCATGTGGATGGGAGCAGATCATCACGCCTTTCTCCTGCGAGCCACTGGGTGGGTTCTAACCACTGACCTTTCGGTTAGTAGCTGAGCACTTCACCACTACACCACCAGGGCTCTAAGCATTGGGAAGAAATCAAGGCAAGAAACTCCCAAACAGCACAAGGGATGCTCTAGCTGTCACACGTGTAATGGGAACTGGGGAGTGACTGAGTCAAACCACTACAAGCCCAGGAGGGATCCAAGTGTAAGACAAGACTGTGGTTTTCGAGGTTCCCAGGATGCTCCACCCACGTGGTGTGAAAGCTAGGTCTGAAGGGGGCTGCTCTGCACAGGGGCCCGCCTGGCCCCCGCCTGCCCGTCAGGACCCCTTCCGCACAAACCACCAGTGGCCCCTGGCTCCGGCGCCAGCCTGCCCGCGTGCCTACAGCAGCTTCCTGTCTGCGTGCAGGGCCAGCATCCCTGTTTACTGCACTGAGTCAGTGTGCGGGCAGAGGACGTGAACACCACACATGAGGCTCACTTACATCCGGAGAAGACAACCAGTGGGAGCCGAGTAGAGGGGACACCGTGCCCCACTGTCCACCCGCTCTTCCCCACGGGTGACGGACCAATGGTCTACCCACACCCCGTCAGTGCTCCGACAGCTGTACTGCTTACCTGCACGCTGCATTTTGGAAGGATGAGCTTCTCTGGTTTTGTCCTGAGCTTTTCTTTGAGTTTGGGTTTTTGTTCTTTACTGGAACTCAGGAGCTTCATGGTTGCTGCAGCGTGTTTCAGAATGCAGCCGCTGCTGCAGTAAACCGAGTCGGGCTGTGCCACGTTAGCGCACCCCGGGCCGATGCACTTAGAGGCGCCGGGAGCCTCGACTACCTGCAGGAGACACAGGGCTTCAAACAACGCACTTTCAAAAGATGGCTGATAGCGCTGGCGGCCTCTGCTCTCACCACAAGAAGAGATGCTCCAAGTATTTCAACATGAGTAAGACGGTTTTTGTTCACTCAAGTGACACAGACCTACTTCCATATGTACAATGTTCGCGTGCCTCAAACTGCCCCTTCTGGCAGCTGGGCTGGGCATCATTCACCACCAAGATTCTAGCCTCTGGTGCCCCCACCCCCCGGATCATGAGCTGGGCCTAGGACTTTAATGGGGTTTCACATCCACTGAAGTCCATCGTGTGGCAAACATGCAGGGACCTTCAGATGTAATCCACAGTCCAAAAGACCCACTTTGAGTTCATCACAAGGCCCTGGCCCTCCAGAAGAAACAAGAGGCCCTTAGCAGCTTTGTCCTGAGTGGCCGCGCTGTGGGGGGCCAGATGGTACGGCTGTGTGGGCAAGGTTGCATGGCTCCCAACGGAAACGGAGCATCAGATAAATGAGCAGCGTCGGTCTGGCACATCAGCGGCCGTAGCAACTGCACAGGGCACCCTCCACCAAACCACCTCAAGGGGCCTGAAAGCAGCTCTCCCCCGTCCGACTCTGATGAGACTGCAGCCCCAGCCCCCACCACTCCTGACTGAGCAGAGGGACCGGTGGACGGCCCCTGGACCCGACAGAGACAATCACACATGTGTTGCTATGCGCCACTAAGTCTGTTATACAGCAGCAACAGCAAACTAAGACACTTACAAGCTCCAACGTGGCTGCTTCCTGTTACAGTGATGGCCAAATGCTTGGTGGTCAAGACCAAACACACATGGACAGCATCCTCCGAGGGGCCTAGACCAAGGTCTTCTCCGGCTCATTAGTTAATTTTCCTCCATAGCATCCAAGATTTACTTACAACAAAATTTAGGCTTAGTCTCAAATACACTGACAGTTAAGTACAGAGAGAGCATCAAGACAACTTTCCCTAACCATGGTCTCAGGGGACATCAAGCTCAACTGGCATAACACACCACACAAAAACACTGTTCCACATCCCACTGTGGTGAGTAGCAACTGGGATGTTAAAAGCTTGTAAGTGGCCATCTAGATGCAACCATGGGTCCCTCCTCATCCAGAGCAAAGAAGAATGAAGAAAACCAAAGATGCATGGACACAGTTAGTCCAAGGAACTGGAAGACACGTGATTCTCAGCCTATGTGACCAGAAGACCAGAAGAACTAGCTGGTGACCGGCTGTCACTGTCAACTACCGGAAAAGGGATCAGTGTAGCAGATCCTAGACAGAGTGGGAGAACAATGTGGAACAAAACTCAAAATTATAAAGACCAGGTTTGATGGTCTGATAGGACCTGGTGAAACCCCTGGACTATGGCCCCTAGTTACCTTTGAGGCTTAGAATTGCACTCACTCCCCTGGCTTCCAGCCAAACAACAGACAGGCAAAAAGGATGGACTTTACACCAGACAGATAAACTCCTTAAAACGATCACTCGTAGGGGAACAGAAGAGCAGCATTTGCACAGGGAGACAGCTCAGGGGGGCAGGAGTGCATGGGAGGGACGGATACAGGGAAGAGGTAACCACAGGGAGGACGCAGAAGAGGGTTATCACAGTGTGGGGAACGCAGTCAATGTCCTGAAACAAAATGTGTATGATCTCTGTATGGAAAATGAACCTGCTGTACAAACTTTCACCCAAATCACGATTTAAAGAAAAAAAGAAAACGCTCCCTATTAAGTTCACATTCCCATTAATCTGTCTTCTAAGGACTCCACGTGCTGTCACCAGCTGACTCGCAGGCTCCACTCCCTAGCTCTTCACAAACAGGTAGGAGAGGCCTACCCTTCAAGCGCTCAGCGGGCTCTGCACCCATAGGGAAGCCATGACGCCTCTAGGCAGCAATCCTGGAGCCTTCTACACTCCCAGCAACCGCCAAGGGGCTGGCTGCAGGGGAAGTGGGGCAGGCCACCTCCCGCAAAGCAGTAGGCAGGACGAGGGCAGGCCCCTGGTCCCAGGCTGGCCAGGAGCCCAGGAAGGCCTGGAGTGACATGCCAAGTCATGGCCCTGGTTGAAGGTGGAGAATTAGGGGGGCAGGAGACAGTTCTCCAGAGCAAGTGAATCTTGTCCATGAAGACATACTGTGAGGAGAGGTGGACACCAAGCTGGGGCAACAGAGTACATGTGCTGAGTATGAGCACCCACAAACCCCAGACCAGTGCAGGGTCACAGGGTAGCAGACAGCAGGAATAGCATGTGTGCTTCTGAGATGGTCCATCCACGGGGGGAACCCGCACAGCCTCAGTGCTCACTAAAGGGAGACAGACACAAGTTGTCTCAACACGGTATCAGGTGGCCCGGACACACACAGACTTTAGTAATTTAAAGAATAACTCTGCAGATATAAAAAGACATGCTGGCATCAAGCTCAAAACTCCACTACCATCAACACCTGAAGAGAGGGACATATGTGCACCGCGGGGACAAGATACTCACAGGCTGGAAGATCTTGAGCTTTTTCTTGCCGCTTGGATTCGCAGCTTTCTCAATCCTGCCCTTTATTCCTTGGTCTTCACTCGATTTTTGCTCTACTGCTCCCAGGCTTGTGAAGTCTGTGCCGTCAGCATCCCCATGCCGAGATGGGGCTTCCTGCTGCGCGGTGCTTTCCACGTTCGTCTCATCCTGCACCTGCAGGATGGTGCAGTTCGGGCAGATGTAGTCCTCCCCGTTCCTCTCCAGAAGCCGCCCTCGGGCCTCCGAGATGCCCACACAGTCACCGTGAAACCACTCCTCACAGCGGTCACAGCAGATCATAAATCTGAAACAGGAAAGCACTGGCATCGGGATGGAAACAAGCCTCAGAAATGTCCCGAAGTGGACTACGGTCGCAGAGGCCATCAAGCCCAAATGACATAACAAGCTACACAAAAACACTGTTCTACACCCTACTTTAGTGAGTAGCAGCTGGGGTCTTAAAAGCTCACAAGCGGCCATCTAGATACAATAATGAGTCTTTCTTCGTCCAGAGCAAACAATGAAGAAAACCAAAGATGCATGGGAACAATTAGCCCAAAGGACTGGTACATCACGTGATCCTCAGCCTACATGACTATGAGACCAGAAGAACTAGATGGTGCCAGGCTACCACTGTCAACCACTTGGAGGGGGATCAGTGCAGGAGATCCTGGACAGAGTAGGAGAACAATATGGAACAAAACTCAAAATCATTAAAAAAAAAAAAGACCACGTTTGCTATTCTGATAGAGCCTGGTGAGACCCTTGGGACTATGGCCCCTTGTTACCCTTCAGGTCTGAACTGAACTTACTCCTGTGGCTTCCAGCCAAAAAACAGACAGGCACATGGGATGAACATTTATATCAAGCAGATACCCTCCTTAGAGTGATCAATCACGGGAGAACAGAAGGGCGGCATCTGCACAAGGAGATAGCTCATGGGGGCAGGAATGCACAGGAAAGAAGGACACAGGTAACTACAGGGAGGAAGTGGCCCATTACATTATGGGAATTACAGTCAATGTCATGAAACAGAATGTGTATTAATTAACTGCTGTATGGAAAATGAATCTGCTCTGTAAACTTTCACCCATATCACAGTCATTTTTTTTTTTTTTAAAAAGGCAAAGTCATGACATCAAGCTGGTGTAACTTACAAAAACCCCAGGAAAGCAGAGCATACAGTGTCCACTCATGCACCCTTCTTGTGATCTTACCTCACTACACGTGCTTCTCTCTGGACTGGTGCGCTGAGAGTAAGCTGTCGGTCTCCCAGCTCCCACCCAGCTCATCAGCACACAGCTTGATGAAACAGTAGCGGCACCGTCACCCCACCTGACAAACCAGACAGCGATTCCCCAGTACCACCTGGCCCCCCCTCACAGTCAGAGGCCCCGAGCTGCCCCCGCTGCCTACACGGGCCCGGGGAGGCTCGTACGCAACACCTGCCCACGGTACCACCAGGGCTTCTGTCAGCTCCTCTGCCAGAGCTCAGCACATCTCCGGGATGGCCAGCGGCCACCGCCACGTGGGAGCTCAGACGTCACTCATGCCTGTCGCTGGGATTGTAAGAGGCCACATGGCAGGCAGCGCTGACTGCAGTGCAGCACAGCACAGCTCAAGGCAGCCCGGTCCACACTTTGTCTTTCTTTTCGGGTACAGACTTATCCCTTCAACTGGACAAAGGACTCACCCAGCCCCGCCTTCAATGTCTCTCCACCAAGAGTGGAAAGTTGCTCACTCTCCCCACCCCTCCTCTCCCAGGACCCACCTGTTGTTATGAGGCTGCCGGCACAGGCAGTACAAAGCGTTGGGGTCGTAAACCTCACACTCGGGTTTGGGCCTGACAGTCTCTGCGGGATCCTCCTCCCGCTCGCCTTGAGCCACTCTCCCTTCCGGCTTACTGTCCTTGTCATCGCCTGCCCCCGGGCCAGGCTCTGGCTCCAGCTCGCTAGGCGGTGAGCCCTCAACAATGCCGCCCGCCTCGCCATCCACGGCTTCCGTCGGGGCCTCCTCGCGCCGCTTCTTCCTCAGGCGGCTCTGCGTCCCTTTCAGGGGCCTGTCGCCTGGCTCCTCTTCCCGCTTTCTTCGAAGGCGATTCTGAAGTTCTTTCAAAGTCAGCCCATCACTGTCACTGTCGGAGGTATCGTCGTCCTCGTCACCCCCTTTTGCCTTTTCAGAAGAGGCGGGGTGTTCCTTACTGCCTGTGGCACCAGACTTGGGGCCACTTTTGGCCTCAGAGCTGCTTTCCACACTCCCTTCAGAGGCTGTTTCAACATCAGTGACCGGACAAGATGTTGGGTCACTCGAGTCCTCGAGGGAGACAGGGATGCTCCTCCTTCCACGGCGTCGGACGGTCGTGAGGAACTCCTCCACCCGCTCCGTGCGCTTGGGCTGCCTCCCGCTGCGCCGCAGGGACAGGCTCTGCGTGGGCTGCTGCGGCGGGTGCTCCAGGGTGTCCACGTCAGCATCTCCCATGCCCTCACGCTTGGCAATCGTGGTCCTTCGGAAGCCCCAGGTCTTCCTGAACTCTTTACTTGTGGGTTTGATGGCCTTCGGGGTGTCATCACTGCCCGGGTCTCCTTTGTCATCCATGCCTGAGCACAGGACCAAAGGAACGGGTTTATGTTTAACTACCACATCCACGTGAGTCTACGAACGCTGGCAAAATGCCTTCTACAAGTGAATTTCACACTAAAGCAAGACTCTGTGACTAGTCCTTCCCCAAAAACAGTTGAGGGGATTTGAAGAAAATTTTAAGTCATAAAGTTAATGTTTATTAAAAAAAAAAAAAAACCCACACAGCTAGCAAAGCAAGTTGACGCTTTCACTATTCTACTGCTCAGAACGAGGCTTTCCAGACCGTGTAGGGGGTGGGTGGTAAAGACACGACTGAAACCCACAAAGTCGACAGCCACTCCTTGGTGTACATGGCAGCCTGCCTCCCTCCCAGGAACCACCAGCTCTGATCCCAGAGCACAGGTAGGGTGTGGAACAAGGTGCCAGCTCTGTACCAAGCCGTCGAGAGGCCCTACTGCCCTGTGGAGGTCAGCCTGCCCTGACCAGGGCCAGGCACAGGAGCACTGTCTCGGCCCCTCAGAAACTTGGGCCAGTGGGCCCAGTGCAGCAAGCAGAGGGGCCTGCCAGCCAGGCGTTGCCCAGCTCCTGGCCCCCGTCATGAGCTGTGTCACGGGGCTATTGTGTGGCAGCTCACTGCAACACTTAGAAAACACCAGCAAGGCAGCTCCTCCTACACAGGCCTTCCCTCCGCCCTTTCCTGTCAGAACACTGAACAACCGAGGTGGGGAGACATTCATGCTCTATGTCAAAGGACGAGACTCAAGAAGGGCAGCACGAACCTGAGGATTCTTTTCCGGGCTGCCCAGCCTTCAGCTGCATTCCAGCACCAGTGACCTCTCTGACCTTAAGACGTGTTCCATCCCAAGGGAACGAGTGGCATAGAGTGGAAACCTACAAAATATAAGAAACATGAATCAGAGCTGCCTGACACCTCAGTTTATGGTCTTCTGGCTCTGCTTCCGTTTTCCAGCCAAGCTCTGCGACGACTGCCGACAGAGGCCTCTGCTGTCCTGCCCACCTGTCCCATGCTCCCAGGTCACCCGAGGGGACCCACTAACTCGGGTGACCTGGGGTGGCCAGCAGTGAGTTCAGTTCAGACGGGCGCTTCTTCCAGTGCCTGGAGGGGAGGTGTGAGCACTATAGGCATGTGGCCAGTGAGCAGCGGTAGCCGAGCCTGGAGGGTGGGCTCCTGTTACCACCAGTCATCCTGAGCAAGTCCCACTGCCCCACTCCAACAGCAGCGAGCCCTCAATGTGGACACTGACGCAAGCCCACCCAACAGAGACGTGCTCCCTACAGACACACACACTGTAGGACTTCTTGCTGCTGCTTCGTTTCTGTTCCAGGAATTTCACCCTCAGGAAGGTGAGAGTGTTTCTATCTGTGCAGAACAAGCTGCAGCACATCCCACAGCCATCTCCGAAGAGCAGCAAGTCAGGATCTTCACGGAACTTCCCACGTTCCTCCTGAGTATGCAGCCTGAGGGGCCGTGGCACCAGCAGCTCCAAACCCTTAGGGTCCTCACCAGTCCCCCCAACCAGCACGTGGGGTGCACCCCTGCACCTCTGAGACCCTATGGTGCCCAGGAAGCTAAAGCAGACCCACGCAACCTGATCCCACCCCACTGGGCGGCTTTCCAGCAGGAAGACTTGGCCTCTTCTCTGCAGAGAATCCCCAGGGTCAGCGGACAGGATGGGGAGAGCAAGCCATGCAAACTAAAGGGCTGGTCCTGAGCAAACCCTCCCCAGACCAGGCTGCCCAACACCTGGCAGGGAGACCGTCTCAGACAAATACAAACACTGTGCCGTGCAGGTCCTTCAGAGACAAAGCCAGCTCAGAAACGAAGACACTAGGAAGTTACGTTCTGCTGCGGTTTCACCCCAGTGAGGCTTCACCTCCTTCCTGAAGTCCCAGGTACGATGGGAAATGAGGAAATCGCTTGGTCCAAGTCTTTAACAGCCAGGTCTCAGAACAAGGCTGTCATCAGTCACGGTCGCAAAAAACAGGATTCGTGGTCTCCAACACCTCAGATTATTTACCGACTGCTCCCATGGAGTGAGCTCCTAAAAGGAAGGAAGGAAACAGTTTACAGCTCTGAGTCAGTTGTAATGAAATCACGTGCCCCTTTCCCCACAAACAGAAACCAAACTTTCCATGTAACATGTGTGTACCACGTGAGCTCCAAAGATGTCAAAAACCAAACTCACTGCCATCAAGTTGGATCTGACTCATAGTGACCCCTCCTTGGGTTTCCAAGGTGGTATTACTACGCAAGTAGATTGTCCAACATTCCTTCCGAGGAGTGGCTGGTGGGTTTGAACCACCAGCCTTCTGGTTAGCAGACACCTTAGGCACTATGCCATCAAAGAGCCCCCAAAAAGCACAGTACATACGTCTTCGAAAGACAAGGGACAGAGGACACCCTGGGTAAACTCTAAGAAAGGCTGGCCTTGGTGGCACACTGGTGGCAGGCAGGCCTGGGCCAGCTGGGGGAACAAGAGGCTTCCATAGGATGGGGAGGTGAGCTCTAGCCACCTGTATGCTGTGGGCATCAGTCTCTCCCCAACTAACTTACTTCTGAGATGGACTCAGCTCAGTAAGGCCCACCACAGAGAAACATGACCCAAACAGAAAAGGCCCCAGACCCACCACAACGTCAGAAGCGACCCTGGCCAGTGGCACGTGGAGCTAATGAGGGCAAGAAAGCGAGGGAAACAGACGTGGCCTCAGCGGGCGGCTGCTTGTTTTCCTCTTCCAGGAGTTCTCACATTGCAGCCGTGTTTTCAATGTAATTAAAATTTTAACTAAGAAAAATGTTGGAGGACGAAGGTTTCAACAGGTGACCGCGGTGGGGTTCAAGCCCCTTCCCACTGGACCCACTCATGAGGGCCATCGGCTCCCAGGGCCCTTCCCCAAGCCCCTCGCTCAAGCTGAGAGCCATGTCTTACCTCTCCCAGGTCTCACTCACTCCAACTGCCTGGCCGGTAACTGTGCTCTGTCGCCCCTAGCGACGCAGAACAAAGGGGCACCAACACTCCGCCTCTTAAAGAGACAGGGAACGCTGCTTGAGGGTCTCGGTCCCCGGTGTCTCCTGCTGAGCCAAACCTTACCACCAGGACCACACTCCCTTCTCAACAGGCTACCCCCAGCCTCCAGACAAGGCTTCCAGAGTTCAGAACTCACTTCTCAGCAACAGGACACCTTACACATTCATCAATGCACAGGATGGAAATGACAAAGGCAACTCAAGCACTAACCGGAAAATAAGCTTGTTTCTAGATGTGATCTGAGTCCTGGATAATTACTCAGGAGGAAGCCGTGGTTTCTAGTGAGCAGGAGGAGACCGAGTTCACCACACTCAGAACAGGGCAGATCATTTAGGTAAGAAGACATGCGTGCTGCCTTTCACTATTTCGTCAACGCAAATTCTGACGAGCGAGTGAGGATAGCATGTGAAATTAACAACATATATGTCAAGGCACAAGTTTTAAAAAAAAAAAAGCATGAAGTTCCTAACACAACTTAGAAATTTACACCTAATCCTACAAACTACCAGGAGCAAAACTGTGACCACACCACACATCACAATGGAATTTTCTCCCCAGGAAGGGGCCACAGCTCAGCTGGCGAGTGCAAACCAGGCGAACAGCGCCCCAGGAGAATCACAAGATTCCTGCCTGCATCAGTGAGACGCAGGGTAACACTATAAAATCTCGGGCTTTAAAAGCTCACAGGGGTCATTCTCAACGGATGTCAACGTGGAGCCTGAAGGGGACCGATGGCTGAAAAGTGACCCTCACAGTCCTGGAATCAGCGGCTCTCAAAATTTCGGTCTCAGGGTTCCAAAGAATTTGTGCTTATTTGCAACATGCCTATCAATATTCCCAAAATTAAAAATATTTACTCATTGGAAGAATAAGCTCATTCCATGTTAACCACACAGACATCAATCCATCCATCTCACTGCCGCTGAGTCAGATGCAACTCACAGCAACCCGTCCTTGGGTTTCGGAGGTGGTATCTCTATGGAAGTTGATTACCCAGTCTTCCTTCCCTTCCAAGGAGTGGCTGGTGGGTCTGAACCGCCAGCCTTCTGGTTAGCAGTCAGATGCCTTAGGCACTATGCTACCAGAGCTCCCACCCGTCTTCCAGTGAGCAAGAGGAAATACATATACAAATATAACCCAACACAGCAAACCCTCAGAACCATGTCCTCTTGCTTACTAGAAGACAGGTGGGCTCTTGGGGCCACTCCCATAGACCATCCGCCACCATCCACTACTGTGGTTGAAACGGATGAAGACCAGGCCTCAGAGAGACACAGCTACACAGGGAGTCCGCACATAACTGCAAGCCCTTCTGTGGCTCATGGTGGACTCCACGAGTGCTGGTTTGTGACATCAGGTGCAGTGGGGAACTGTCCGAGCACCAGCCCTACTTGTACATTAAAGTACACTCTGAGGGCACCATGCAGCCTGTGTGGCTGTCTGGGAAACACCGATTTGCTGAGTCACACCGAGTCACGCGGCAGCACCAGATGCCCACACGTTATCACTCTCATCAGGGGTCAAAGCACTGAGAAGCTGACAAGCTCACCATGGCAGGCGCACGCTTTCTGAACTGGAACTCTGCCGCACACAGTAAACACTGTCACACACGGCAGGTCCTAAAGCTACACCTGCTGGACACCCAGGTCCGAGGCCTGCAGGGTGCCTCTTCTCAGCAAAGATGGTGAGCTGGGAAGAGGCTGGCACCACTGGGCACTTCCCCTGGAGACAGCACCCCCCATCAGGCCACCGCCACCTCATCACACAGGAAGTGACAGCTGTGCTGCTAGGGCTGGGAAGACATCAAATCAGTCCTCCTCACTGCTCCCCGGAGGGCGTTTTTGAGGGGAGCTGGTGTTTTTCAAACAACCAGCAAGTGTGCGGCCAAGAGCAGAGCAGTGTGCTTGCTGTTCCTGCCCAGTCAGATGGCAGCAGGGCAGCCAGGGCACACGGTGGACTTTCATCGCA